CTGTTTAAAATATTGCTTCAATAAAAACTGAGGTTTTTCTTTAGGCTTTATCTTTAAAAAGAAATGTAAGATTTATAGAGAGAGAAACAGAAGGAGAAGCACAATCTTCCTCAAGTCTGATGTAGAAGAAACACACAAAAGAGAAAAGTACTAACACTCAAGTCTGCCTGTTTTCTTTAAAATAGGAGATAAAAAAACCCACGCACACAAAACCTTGATTTTAAAAGACCATCGCTATTTTAGTCAATTTTCACTCTCCTTCTCTAAAAGAATTTCTTTTTAGTAGCTATGTAAGTAAAGTAGGCAGTATATAACAGGGAAAATTAATACATGTTATGAACCATTTTAGTCATCTCAGTGTTTCACAGATCAGTTTTTCCCTGTATTTTTCACATTCAGAGCAGCAGCATGGTGAAATGCAGTTATCCAGACTACAGATGTGCTGACTAAATCCCCTGATCAGTGGGAACTTAACCAGTCGTAAGTCTCCTTACAGACATGACTGATCTCAAAAATCACAAGATCAGATCACTGCTGAGAAGCAAATCTCAAACTTTTGCTCCTTAATCATTCCTGTTTATTTCACATTATACAAAGCAATAGAGAATCTTAAGCACTGAAAAGTGAATTTTATTATGAAAATATCCATGACATACATTGGTATGACTGTTAAAGCCAAAAGCTCTGCCTGAACTCCTAATCCTACTCTGACATAGTCTTCTATACAGTCAAATTTTTAATTTACTGTTTGAAAGTGAAACTATGGTATTTTCCTCTGCAGAAGAAAATCCCCTATTCACACTGGGGATTCAAAAGCCTCTTCTGTAACTAAACAGTGATGTTACATTCAATTACTTAAACCCTTATCATGTTTCCTGTAACATTCTTGCCAGTGTCAGTACAACAGACTTAGTTTCTAACACTTGATTCTGGGGCAGATAAAGCCTGTTAAAAAAAAATAATAAAAAAAGACGCTTCACAGTCGCTTGCTGTATCTCATCCAAATGTATTGGAAGTGAGTTTATGACAACATTAAAACTTTGGGACATTGTTTATTTATGAAAATAACAACTACGTAAGAGCATTTACATGCACCATTTCATAGTTGCATCAGTAATGCAAAAATATACTATTATCAACATTGTACAAGTTTGGTTACCTATTAATTCAACTTAGAATACCTACTTTACTACTAGAAATATTGAATGTAGAGAAGGGAAATAATACTTTTCTGCTGGGGTGCTCAGGTTCCCCAGGAACCCAGACTGAGATAAGTGTGATTTGTGCATAACCAAGGAGACATAGCTCCCATATCAGTGGGGAAAATACCAGAAAGGATGTACTGACAGGCTACATAAACTATGAATGTTAAATTACTTTCCTGCTGTTTCTGGAACAGATCACTCATTCCTTTCACTAAATGACATTATGTAAATGAGTTATATTATGCAAATGCGGGCTTTTCAGAGTATCTAAGTGGCCCATGATTTACTCATCAGTGCTGCAGTAGTTCTAAATCTTTGCACTAAGGAAAAAGTAAGAGCTATAACTTCTTCTAAGAAAGCTGTTTAACTTACAGCCTCATTAATGACATCAACGACTGAGTGAAAGGAAGATGAAACTATTGGTTTGCCATTGCTGATATATCTTTCAGCCCAAAGATGACATGTAATTTTTTCAACATGAAAAGAATAATTTAATTATAAAGATTAGTATAGAACACATTTGGTACACCAAGAACCTCTAATCTCAAATTTGGCACCAGACAAACATAAAAAATGCAATACAATAAAATCTAAAAAAGTTGAAGCTTTTTAGAATAGAATATGTAAACAGCTAAACCCTCACTTTTGCTGTCCATGTTCTCCTGTATTAAGCTCAACAATCTTAAAATTGACTGTCATGATAATTTTAAAAAAAAATTTTTCCCTCTTGGATAATAAAGAGTTCATGTGTTCAGAAAACACCAAAACTGAAGTTTGTATATAGCTTCTCAATTGTAGCATTTATTTAAACGATAAGAATTGATGTGTAAACGGCTTCATCTCCTCAAACTGGCTGGAAAGTAGCTGCCTCTGTATATTGTCAGACAAGTTTTCCACTGAAGAGAATACAGAAGAAAGCCACACACTAACATGCTCAGATCCTGTAACAGGACTTACCTACAAACAAGGCATTCTTGATAAAAATAAATACTGCATGCAATGACATTTTTTAAAAATCTAAAATTAAACTATTGAAAGTATGATTCTCATACATTAAAAAGAAAATCCCTTTTTCTGTTTTTAGTTTTCAATATAATTTTAATTACATTTTTCAACATATAAAAATAAACCTAAAGTACAAGCTGAAAGCTTCTGTTCTGTTTACATATTAGAAAACAAAATTAAATTTTAGATTCTCTTTAGGTACTAACACTATCTCCATATTTCAATTCTCCACACTCCAATCTCTACTGAGAAAACTGCATCTCTCTGAACTAAGTGCCTACTGATTGCCATGATTTTAACCATTTACTGATCTCAGCAGTTATGTCACTAAATCAGATTTTTCACATTTAAGATAACACCAAAGGCAGTAACTGATTGCTATAAAATGGAAAATATCACCAAGTGGCAGATGGGACCCATAATATGCCCCAATTAATTATTCATAATTCACATCCTGAAGACTGTTTTACAATTATGATGCAATTATCACACTTTGGATTCTTTTTTTTCCCCCATCTAGAAGTACATGAACTCTAATCTTCTTTCATTACAAATCAACAAAAAGACAGTGATGCTTCAGACCTAAAAGCAGACAACATACACATCACTATGACATTACTGCTTGTAATGGTCATACACATGAATGAAAAAATAACAGAGTAATAAGGACAGGTAAGAACTATACAATAATTTATAACATACAAAGCAGCCTTTGCTTACTATCCCTTTCTTAGACCGAAAGAAAATTTTCCCCACTCTAGTAACTATTACAAGGTATCACTACAAGCTAAGGGCAACAAAGAGAAGCTACGATGTAACACTAGGGCTTCCAAGTAATTTCAGGTATTGCCTTAGATATAAGTGGGCCAGAGAACATTAGCAAGCAACGCAAAGCATATTACAGACTACAGACTTTTCCTCCCATGCAGCAGAGTAAACACATCCAAGTGTCTACAGCTTGTTTCAGAATCCAAGCTGTGCACAGGCTGCTGCTGTCAGCCAGCTAAGATAAGGCTAGTTCAGATGTATCTGAAAGTGTCATCAAAAAAATGAGCAGGTGGTTGAGTAGACAGAACCCACACCTCACCGGTTTCCCAGGTATTCTTCAGATATTTCTCATTTCTAACCCAGTGCTTTTATCCCTTCTAGTTCTGAAATATGAAAACCAGTATTCTTTACATACCATACTATCAGTCTTTGCAAACAAAATTCCATCCCCCCCACCTGCGTAAATCCATTGACTTTGATGAATTTATCTAAGCCACAGCCACCTCTATCTTGAGCTTGAAATCCTCTTTCATGCACCAGCAGTTTTCTTCTGCTATCTTCTTCTTCCAAAATCCATGTCTATTATCTGGAAACACTGTTGGGAAGTAACTGTGGGCACTAATGGAAGCTTACGCATACGTGCTTTACATGGTCTTTGCAAAATGGCACCACATGATTACTCTTCTGGGCAGTCAAGTTTTCAAATAAAGGCTGAATCACATGAAATTACACGTAAAAACAATGGAGCTATTGTGAACTACACCGTTCTCAAAACCTCTACTCGATTTAATCCCATTTATAAAGCAGGAACCCAAATGGTCTGACATAGCAGCTCAGCATGCAAGCTTGTTAATAATGAGGCAATGGACTTCCCATGGAAGATGGACAAATTCAATGGATAATGCGCGCAATCCTATAGGAGCAAGCTGAAACTTAATTACTGTGCTACACTACCAGTTTAAAATGAACTACCCTCTGCTGAGATAAACTTTTTATGGAGTATATAGTTCTCTAGCAGTGGCTTTTCAGGAAGAGGGGAACCATAAAACATCCTATACAAATAGAACTTAACAACCTCACAGATCTGCCCAGTATTTACAAAGCAAAACCAAAAAACAAAGTATTTGAAAGAAAATACCACTTGAGGTGGGGAGGAAATGTGTGTGTGTTTGGTGGCTGGCTGCTTTGGTTGGTTTGTTTTTTTCCTTTTTTTAAAAGCAAACAAACAAAAACCTTCTGTAAGGGACTATAATTCTCATACAACATAACAATATGCTGCATATTGCCTCACACATGTGGTAAGTTAGCTAGTAAGTTAAGGCTGCCATCCTTAACTACCAATTTCCAAAGGCATGTTTCTCAGTTAAGTGTATACAATCCTTTACATACTCTATAACCAATAGATCATAGGGGCTATGCAATTTCAGAATAACAAAACTCATGATAACAAACTAATATCTAAGCTAAAACATGATACACTTCAAGAATCCAAATTCTTCCCAAAGGAGAAACTTAGCTTTTCAAAGATACCATAAATAATGCATGTATATTTTAACCAATACCCACATTCTGAATCAAAGAAGTTGTGTGAATAAGACCAGATGGTCTAAAAATATTCCTTTAATAAGTATGTACCAACAGAAATTTCCCTATAAAATACTTAATTTTATTAGTGAAATGGTACCAAGGATAACAAGCACAGAAACAATCTCTTTGCTCTACGCTAGACATCATAAATAAGACAGCCGATGTTGTAAGACACAATCCTTCATTCTTCCTGTAAGCACAGAGATTTGTTATTCTCTTATCAGAATTAGCTGCTTACCAGCCAACAGTATGTGGCTTAAAGATCACAAAATCTTCTAAAAAATGAAGTGATTAAGCAGTTTCACAATCAAAGTGATCTGATTACCTTAGGAATTGGACACATTTTTGTTCCCTGTAACATGCTCTCCTTCCCCCCACTGAAAGAATTAACTATGCAAAAGAAAAGTTTAACAAATAAAAAGCAAACAGACAATATATTATTATTTTTTTATTTCAACTGAAATAACACTTCCCATGAGGTAAGGCAATTAAGTAATTCCATTGCATTAAGTTGTAGTAAAAATAATCTACTCCACTTTAGGTATAATTATGTCTTAGAAGTATGACTTTTCAGAAATCTCATGTAACCAATTAAATTAGTTCAGAGAACACAAGCCACGTTTTACCTTGACAAAAATATTTCGTCATTCTCTTCTTACATGCTTTCTTCCCAAAGAATGAAAAAAAAATCTTTACTATGTAAGCCCTGTGTAAATTTAACTTTCTTCCCCAAATTATTTATCCCCCACTGCTTTGCAAACAACTCCTTCTACATCACCCTACAGGTATCAGAGAAGATGATCAAGAGGTAACAATTAAGGCCATCCAAATGTAGATTACATGTCTTAAGGGTTTTCTTGATGCAGGTGATCAGAATATGGTTTACATTGAGCTACTACTTTTGTACAGTGGTAGTCCCCATACTGCATCTTTGCTCTCATATATAAATCTCCTTTAAGAATAAAAAATAAAAGTAAAATGGAGCTTCATTATTTTAACAAGTGAACCAAACAACCGTTCTGACAAATCACTTGCATCCTTGTCTACAGTATGGTGGTGGCAAAATAGCAAGAGAGATCATATAAGGTTTAGCTGAAAATGTTTAACAGCACATATACATTTCTAGAAAATATCACATTTCAAGAAGGCACTAAAGCTTCTGCTTGTGCTCCCATATTTTTTAACCGAAGAAATAAAATTATTTCCTTAATGGCACCTGTACTATTTGCAGCTTAACAGACACACTGCAGTACATCCTAAAACAAAGCTTTAAGTTCTGATAATACCATACTCGTGCTCACTTCTCTAAGGACAATGAAAACAACAAAACAAACCAATCCCAAAATAACCCAGTAAGATAACCAAATATCTGTAACATGGCAATGTTCCTTATAGGAACAGAAAAAGAGCATGCATTGTTCAAATACTTTAAAAGAAATATTAATTTTAGGGATATTAGTAAAAAACCTGTTTTAAATAATAAACCCGAATAATCTCAAGCAGTGAGCAAATGAAAAACATACTAGTTCTTGGGTACTTAACATAAGATAAAACTGTGTTTATGTTTAAAATTCCTTTCCCTACAGTTGTCATTTACAAGGAAAGAAGGTGTGTACATTTATGCACCATTTTCAAGCACATCAAACATTACACACTGGGATTTTTTAACCCACAGGGCAAAACAACACAAAAGTCATCAACAAGCAGTATTTTAAACAACCCTCAATGCATATCTTCAGCTTTTTGGGGGAAGTACAGGTTTACATCTTTCAGTTTCTACTTATTTATAACAGCTTATAGCAAAACATATGATTTTACAAGTAACTACAGCCATCATGGAAATGCATGGATTTTCAGAGATGAATAGTTCTGATGGCATCTGCCTTTTCATGGTATAATGACTGGTCCGTGCTCTCTTGCTTTACAGCAAGAAGACAACAAAGCTATCACAAGAATTGTAGGAACTACTAAGTACTATCAACACGGTCAGGTTGATTGCTTTGACATTTTCTTCCTCATTCTGGGAAATAAGATGCTTTGGATTTCATTCCTTAGTTGAATCACAAGTTCATTCTTTGCTTTAAACCTCTTCCATTTTAATTGAGAGGCTTTCTTCATTTGGTTGACAGTTCCCATTCTGTTGTAGTTTGACTTCATCTGTCCTTTGTGTATCTCTATTGTCTACTTCCTTGTCAGTTTCTGAATTCTGATCCTCTTTGTTATCTTTCTCCTACCAAAGATAAAATAATTTTACAAAAAAATTTTTCTTAGTATTCAACGATATGACTTCCAATCAACTCTTGGTGATTTTACTGTCTCAATTTTTACACGCCTATCCTGTCTCTGCAATTTTTAGAATAGCGGGTGTGAGCTTCTTTGCCACTTGTTTTTTTAAATAAGCTTTCTTTTCAATTGGCTGAAGTTAGGCACTCATACCAACCCGTCATCCTAGAAATCACTGCTATAAAGTGATGTCTTTATTATCTATATTCTGAAAAAACAGAGCAAGCAGTACCTATGAGAAACAGCTCCAGAAATCAAGATTTTACCACATTTTTAAAATAAAACAGGGCTAAATTTTTTCTTTCCTATTTTTTTCCAGGTATCTGATGCATTTTAACAGAGTTCTTGGGTAAGATCCTTAAGCTTTGTAGAGTCACATAAATCAGCTCTTTTATAACATTTGTATAATTCTGAGCACAACAAACTACTCTTTAAAGCATGCTGGTATTCAAATTCTAAGATTAAGCAGTTTGAAGATGTTTCTTTTCTTAACTGCAGCACCTTCTCTTTTGCTGCCTACTTACAAAGGCAGGCAGCCAGCCAATTCCTAACATAAGGAAAGAGATACAAAACCCAGTGTTTCTATATACTACTATAGGTCCAGTATAGTTCTAACATGGAGACTTATCAAACTGGCCCAATCACCCCAATTGCAGGTCTCCAAGTAGCAAAAACTAAACCCAAATAGTAATAATTTCATAAGGAAAACAGAAGGAGTAAAAGAACAGTGGATGAAAAGAAAGGAAAAGGAGGGAGGGAGTTTCAGTAATGGCTTCACTGCCACCACTTTAGTCTGTTGATTATTTGGGTGACACAAGCTTACCTTCAAAGTAGTGGTGCTTTTGTCAGATTTTTCCTTTCCATCTTTTTCTTTACTACTTTTTTTCTTGGAGGTGGAACATTCTCTTTCTCTTCTTTCATTATTTGTATCTCTTTCTCTTTTTTTTTCTTTCTTGTTTCTGTTTCAGAAAATTTTCAGTCAAATTAGGATTTGATCAAACTTCAAACTATTTGACTATCAACTTAAACTCTTTGCTGTGCATTTTAAAAAAAATCCTAAAATGTAACAGAAAAACCTTTCATAAAGGCAAGAGGATTTTTTGACTTGAAGAGAGGTTAAGAGTGCAAGTGATGAGTACACACTGTATTTGCCAAGCAAAAAGTAAACTGATCTCTATCAGATCAAGGGGTTTTATCATTTTGAAGCAAATTCGCATTGCTGATTGATTTGAAACTCTCCCACTGAACACCATACCAAAGCTGAAATCCACTAAGGTTTTGGGTTGGTTTTAAATTAAAACTGAATCATATTGACTAATTGTAATCATCTGAGATGCTAAGTGCAAAGGCAATAAAACAAGTATTATAAATCCTGACTTCTTTACTGATCACTAACTTTTATGTTTACATCAAACTGACCTTCTGGGGGAAGGAGTTCGTGAAGACTTTCTCTTTGCTGTTTTCGATGTTTTAGGAGACTTGGAAGGACTTCTACTCTTCCTTTTACGCCTTTCTCTACAGGACCAAGAAATTCAAGATCATCAAAATCCCAAAATAATTTACTCAGAAACCAGATAAAAGGAGAAAGCTCATAAATGATCTAACACATCCACTGTGCAAGTATCCCTGAATTTAACATTATAAATCACCAACAATATAAGAACTGTACAAAGAAAAAAAACACTTTTTGTATGTGCCAGTTTGGTGGGGAAGGCAAGGGCTTAAAAAGAAAAAAGGTTGTACCCTTTCAACTGCTATTTTTTTTAATCATCACATGCTTGATAACAATGGAAACACACTGAATTCACTAATCCTGTATTAACTAAGAGTTTCCTCAGTCAGGAAAAGAATTCAGTTGAATGAAGTGCCATATTAAGACAAAGGCATAACTTGAGCAATATGAAATTCAAAACGTAACATTACAACCTGAAGACCACTGAAACTTCAGGTTAACCTGACTGAAATTTAATTTATGAATGAAATTTAATACATGGGCTAGAATTCCTGTTGGTTCAGAAGAAAACTGTTCACAATTAATCCCAAGCTGTTGTCAAAATCAGAATGAATAAGCAAATATTTATTATTTTTCTAGTGCTTCTTGCTCAGCAAACAGAATGCTATCATTCTATATTGCACAGAAGAGCTTGTATGTTACAGAACAGCTGTTTTACATAGCTGGAGTTTGATCCTGAATAGAACAAAACCTTAAATAACTGGTTGCAAACATGCTGAGGCACATGTTGAAGCAAAAACTACTCTAGTAAAGCTTGATTCCACATAAATGCAGAACCTATTTTTGACAAAATAAGATCATTTTCTTCTATCAACACTTCATAGAGCAGGAAAACCAGATTAGAAGAACCATCAAAGAAAAATAGTAAAGTTAAAAACTAACTTCTAGATATGACACAAAAGCTACACTTACACATACTAACTTTTTCAGTTCACACCATTAGAGGTAGCTATTTAAACCTTAAGTACTTAGAAAAGCCAAGAAATCAACAGTAATTAGATAAATTCCAGAAGAATGTATTAAGTTATGTCTAGTGTCACTATCTGAATTGATAGTCTGACAGTATTATTTACCTTGACTGTCCTGACTTCGGTCAGGAGAGAGTTAATTTTCTTTCTAGTAATTGGTTACAGTGATGTGTTTTGGATTGTTCTGACAATGCAGTGATGTTTTAGTTGCTGCTCAGGGACTTTTCAGTTTCCCATGTTCTGCCAGCAACCAGGTCCACAAGACTCCGGGAGAGAGCATGGCCAGGAGAGCTGACCCAAACTGGCCAAAGGGATATTCCATACCATAAGTGCAAGTTGGCCAGGAGCTGCTGATTGCCCTGGATGATGGGCTGGTCATCGTTTGGTGGACGGTGAGAGATTGTGTTGTACGCCACTGGTTTGTCTGGGATTTTATTCCTCTCCCTCTCCTTCCTATTACAGTTATTATTGTTGTTATAATTATTATTTCAATTACCAAAATGTTCTTTCTCAAGCCCTGTGACCCACAGCTGGACAGAGTGGGAAAAGGTTGAGCAAGGAAGGGGCTCGTGCAGGAACAAAGAAAGTCCAGAAACAACTGTCGTAAACCCATATGAGCTCACTCCCAGTCTCCCTTCCCCTGCTGGGGCTGGAGAGGGTATCTATCAGGAAAGAAAGAAAATCTCCAGCACTCTACCAAGAAGGCACATAACTCTCTCCCAGCCAAAACCAAGACAGGGACCTTCTGAAGCTGCACCAGGACCAGATTTCTTAAGTATTTTGTTCAATAAGTTTTTAAGTTCGATTTCCTCTCTGGTAAACAAAAATATAAAGTTGTTGGAAACATAGAGCAGATAAACACAATCACTGATGGGTTGTTCACTAATTAATAAACATCTCATTTTGAAAATTTCCATATTTACCATCATTTTTTTTGAAATAATTATATCAGAAACTGATCACTCTGATAGTGTTCTCCCACTTTGGTAACATCAAATACAACCCTGCTTTATTTTGCTTTCCAGCATACATAGCTGTGAGTAACCAAGTACTTCAGTAATTGTGGTCAAACTAGAAACTGTTTCTTCATGAAATATAATTTTAATTTTCTGCTTTTCTCATTTCAAGTTGAAGAACTACAGCTGTGTCTCACTGCATTTGTTCCCACTTCTATTACATTTGTCTTCAAAAAGATTTTTGTGCACCTATTTCATTAGTGCTCTTACACAATACTAATATAGCAAAATTCAGGAAAAAGCAAGTCTGACTACTTTCAGAGTGATACTGTGTCTCCTAATCATACACAGAAATAACATTCTGCACCTCCTCTGGTACTGCTGGTTCTGCTAGCCTGTAAGTCAGTTGGAAAGGCAGTCAGATCATTCTCTTCCCCTGGTCTGTCTCTTCCTTCAGCTAGGAATCACAAATAACCACTTTATTTCCAGTACTTGCACACTCAGCTGCCACCTAGTTCTTAAAAAGTTCTGTATGTCCTATACCACCTTCAACTCTTCTCCAAAAAGATGAAGACTATTTGTCCAATATTTTACACTCATCAGGTAAATGATCAGCAGTCAGTGCTATACTGTAAATTCAGGCAACTGAAATGCCAATTTGCTGAATAATCTTCTCCAGAAAGGTCTGTAACCATTTCAACTTGGCAATGTCAGTCACTAAAGTACCTTCCTTGACTTGCTCACAACACTGCTGGCCTTCTCAGCTGCAAAGACCCGCAGGTCCTTTGCTGCCAGTCAGCCTTCCATCCAGTCAGTCCCCATGCTGTACTGCTGCAATGATGTCATTCCTGCCTGGGCGCAGGAAAGGTCCTTTCTCTTTGTTCAACTGCATGAGATGACTATCAGCCCATCTGCCCCATCTGCTGAGGTTTCTCTAAATGGCAGAACACTCCCGTGGTGGACCAGCTTCTCCCCACAGTCGGTTCTCTATTGTTTGCAATTTGCTGAGGGTGTAATCTGTCCCACTATCTAAGCCACCAATAATAGCGGTGGCCAATTCAATCAGCACTGGCCTCAGTACTGATACTCTAAGGACAATGTTATGTCTGAAGAAAAAAAAAATTGTACATCTATACTAAAAAATGTATTTTCTTATTCTCCATCTTCAAAAGAACACTGTCCTTGTGTAGCAATATCTAGTATAAAAACCAGTAACTTCATACCAGAGTAGGGGTTTGTTCTTTGCCTCCACTAGAAGAGATGCTAGATTAGAAAATTCTAATTTTCACTGGATTCTTTGCTCAATTACTTGGCACTGTAGCCTTCCATAACACCTTCATAACCAGTAAGATGCTTAATAATTGTTGCAGAATTTTTGGTAACATCCAGCTAACTACACTCGCAACTTGGTATTAGGACCCTGGTCTTCCACTAATGTTTTTATATAAGCTACATATTGTGAAAATCTAATTCAACTGCTGAGGCCTACAGACAGAAAATACATTTTCAAAGCTAACAGAAGCACCTCTACTCTATGTACATCTTCAACCCATTAAAATAGGAAGCTGCGTATGCTTAAAGAAACAGTATTTTGCCCATAATCCTCTAAAACAACATGGACAATTCATATAACACAAATAGAATACTCAGAAAACACGATACAATTTTTTGCCTTCTATGAACTCTGCACTCATGAATTTTGAAGACTATAGGAATTCTGCTTTTGTTTAGTGAAATTATTATAATACATAAAACTTTTCCTAATTCATCCAGCATTTCAGTATCTCAAGGTAACAAATCTAACACAATAGTACTGAACTCCGTAATTCCTGAGGTCTCAGAAAGCACCTTAAACATCAAAGCTTCTGAACTCAGCTGCAATGTTTTTAGATTACGCCTGAGTTTAACCATTTAGAGAGTGATTATAAAATCACAGCCTCCTTGTGCTGTACTGAATGTAACCAGACTTTTACCTACTTAAGCTTGCCTCAGCTTCCCTGCAACAGCTACATTATTGTTTTCCTGTTTAACTTGTACCTGGCCATCTAATCAGCTAAACAAGGTATCTATATCTTCCAACTGAATATTCACCTTATGAAAGGTTAGTCAGTTAGATATTCCTGCCTCCTGAAGTTTAGCCATCCAGCCAGGAAGTAGCAAATACTATCAAACAACTGTTTGCACGATCTACTGACCAACACCGTGCAGTATGTAACTAACAAAAGAACTATGTAACAGGGACTCAGATTTTCATCAGGGCAAAGATCATATGTGATGCTGGTCAGAACTTTCACCTGCTTGCAATACATAAAAATGGCACAAGAATCACTACTTACTGTCCTCAAGGACTATACTGTATGGTTATGTGAAAATCAAGCATCAGCAGCCCAACATGAAACCATGTTCCCTCAGGCATCATACAGAGTTTTTTGTAATAGATTTTACTTTAAAGGAAAATCAGAAAACCACAAATAATACAAATTTATTCAGTAAGAGACATGGTGAAATCAATACATAAAAGTTAGGATGGCGCCTCACTGAACTGACAAATCAAAAAAAGCATGAAAAATTCTAAACAAACCTGCTGGAGCTACGAGATCTTCTTGAAGAGCTATAGCTTCTTGGGGGTGTTCTGGATCTCTTATCTTTCTTCTTTTTATCATCTCTCTCCTTTTCTCTTTCTCGTTCTTTCTCCTTATCCCCATCTTTTTCCTTTTCTTTGTCCCTGTCCTTCTCTTTGTCCTTATCTCCCTCTCTGTCCTTCTCTCCTTTCTCAGTATCTTCTTTTTCTTTGTTCGGGTCTACCTCTTCCTTGTCTTTTTCCTTCTCTTTTTCTTTTTCCTTGTCCTTGTCCCTGTCTCTGTCTTTGTCCTTATCCTTGTCCCTATCTTTCTCTCGGGCTCTTTCTCTATCTTTGCTTCGCTCTTTATCTCTCTCCTTGTCCTTGTCTCTGTTTCTCTCTTTATCTCGCTCTCTTTCCCTGTCTTTGTCTCGGTCCCTATCCTTCTCCTTGTCTCGGTCTCTCTCTTTTTCTTTGACCTTTTCCTTGATCTTTTCTTTGTCTCTTTTCTTGTCCCTGTGAAAAGCCAAACACAAACCCATTAATTCATCTTTGAACTTTCCAATTAAAATTCCAACTAACTTTTAGTATACATTAAGACAAAGTTTGCGACTCTGTTGAAAAATAGTAACTCTTCAATATTTTAATCTTCCATCCGTGTTTACCATGAGCAAAAGGTTATATGGCTAGGATATTTTGGAAATCAAATTGGAGAAGGGGAAGCCAAAATCAAATCAAACCACTATCTTCCAAGTGATGTTATGATGTTTGACAAAATATGTCTCTTCACCTCACAGTTATGTAACTATATATACATCAATTTCCTATATTTTCTTAGGAGTAAGACAAACTCTACAATCTGTAAATCCATTCTTTATTTAAAAGTGTGTCCACATAAAATGGGCCTCAGATTAACCACTCCCAAATGAATAAGACCGAAGTCTTTATTCTACGTGTTCTTGCACACAGATATCCTTGAACTGAAGCCCAACAACAATAAATATATAGAAATAAAAAGAAAACAGGGATAAAATTTCACCAGATTCCCTCAAAAAGAAAATATAAGATCAAAATTCAATCAAGACAATTCAACCATCTGCAATATCATTAGGAACTTGAAAATTATTGAAAAATTGCTAGTACCGCAAAACCAGAAGCGAGGAAAATACCTTCTTTGGGACAGGCATTCATAAAAAGAACAGTGAGGAAAATTCCAACCCATGTTCTAGTCATCAAGTCAAACAAAAATTTATTAGCTCACAGCTTTGGCTAGAAGATTACATTTTAGTATAGGATTATTTGAAAGTGCAAGACTCCATCTTTCCTCTCTAGCACAGAGAGAAAAGAACACTTGTTCACACAGAGAAATTGGGAGAAAGCATAAGAGGAGAAGTTGACTAGCAGGCCTTTACATGTCAAAAAGAACCAGACTAACAGAAGTTGCTCTGTGTACTGGTATTAGTATCTATTCTAGATTCTTATAGATCCTAAACGAGATGTCTTCACACATGAAAGAACCTAAGTTCTGCCCTCACCTTCTCTCAAAGTGAGGAAGCGTTTGACTCTATCTTCTCAACTACTAATAAACAGTAGACTGTTGTATGCTCTCTGACCTGACAACTTTGATTCCCAAAAAGTTCTGGCAAATCCTTCTTCAGGAGTCTCAGAGAAGGAATGCATCATAAAGACAAAACAGCATACAGTCCCTGCAATACTAAAGAACCTCCCAAGAAGTGCATTCCAGTTAATTTATCACAGAGATTTCACTGGATGTGCTCCTTCCAGTGAGCAGATGTCTCAAGAAGCTCCAGACAACAGCAAAAGAGAATCAAAAAGACCCACCATTAAAACTCAGCTTATTTTCAGTGAGGCCCACAGATCTGCAGTTTTCAATTACCACAAAACTTCTTCCCTCAAAGAACACTAGGCAACTGCATAATGCAACTACAAAGCTCCCTTCAAATGAAGCAGGGGAATTACAGAGATGAAACAGAAAGAAAGCACCAAGATATCTAGTCAAGAAGCTACTTCCCTAGGCACTTTTGGTTTGAGATCATTCAGTACTTCATCCCTCAGAAAATTATGTTGTTATCTTGTTGGAATTTCACATAATAATTTAGACAACCAGACATAAAAACTAATAGGCCAGATAAAGTATAGATGTAATACATTCTGAAATATAAATATGCCATGTAACAGACACGTGCATTTGTTCCTGCTGTTCGGCATATGATAAAGTCAGAGGTGAAAAACAAAAGATCATGCACAAAAACTTCATATATTCTCAGAATATGGGATACCAAGGTCATTTTGAATTCAATCTTCTCAACACATACGTATCGAAAAAGCATCATCTACTTTTTTGTGGCTTACACAAGCTACACAAAATATTCCTTATCTATTGGTTATAGTCTGAACTAGAGTTACCTATTTTCAGTCAGCTGGGATGTTGGTATAAAAGCAGACTAGACTATCAAAGTTCAGGTACCTCAGTGTGGTTGTTTAACTGCAGGCACCATCCAGGCTACTAGGAAGAAAATCATCCTAGCCAAGATCACTACACTCAGTACTAAAATTTACTTTGTCGTTTTTCCTACAGACAAGGTTCCACATTTTACGATCATCTAAAAGGTTTGTTAATTTTTTTTCCAAAAGCTCTATACTGTAAGCTAACAGTATCATTTCATGAAACAGAACTCACCGAGAACAAGAGCGACTTCTTGATTTTCGCCTTTCTGAAGATCTAGACCGTTTTTTCAGGGGACTTCTGGATCTGCGTCTGTCCTTGTGTCTTGAGAGAGATCTGTTGCCTGATCTACTTCTATATGAAGGATGTCAGAACAAAAATATTTTAATATTGGAATCTCATAAAAATGGGGTCAACCAGCATAGGAAAGTTTACATAAATCTTGCTTGACCACATACTACTATATAAATAATTACACTTTAGTAACATACTGTCTCAACAAACATTTTGCAAATATGGATGCTTTATGCTTCACCAGATGCACTCCTTTGAAACAACGAAACATTGAAGTTATACCCGTGTTTCATAACAATCTCCATGAACATTCTGGAAAATGTAAATCAATATAATTTACAAGAGCTGTCCTTATAAAATGACACTGCATAAAAAACTGTGATTTGCAATTTTTAGCAGTTTGTAAAAATAATTAGTTGCAGATTACTTCCTTTCCAGGCTCAGCCACTTATTGAAGTCTTTGTCAGTGAAGTAAGATGGCTCTGGCCACATCAGTGTTCTCCACTCCTACAATTTAAATTAATAAAAACCCCAAAAACCTGTGATTCAGCATTCAGTCAAGTTACCTTTCCAGTTAAGTGGATTTGTTAGCATGGATTGCAGCTATAAGAATTTCCAGGGAAAGAGCATTTACTACATGATAAATAAGGAACGTAAGTAGAGATACTCTGATAAAAAAAAAAAACAATTAAAGTCTTCTATAGATCTGATGAAGAAAACACTACTTTTACATTTTTTTCCAAAATATTCACTGTTTTTGGAAAATCATTTTCCCCAGAAAAGCAAAAATAAAGAGCTGAATCTGCACATTAAGTTTCATAACTTAGGCAGATTTCAGCCTACTCAGAGGACTGGTCCAGAGGGTACCTTGGGAAACAGCCTTTGAAAACAAAGGGGTCCAGGAGGGATGGACATGCTTCAAGAAGCAAGTCTTACACGCACAGGAGCAGGTTGTCCCAGTGTGCCCAAAGGCAAGTTGGCAGGGAAGATGGTCAGCCTGGCTGAACAAGAGATTTTAAAGGAAATTAGGGGAAAAAAGAGAGCTTACCCAGCATGGAATAAAGGGCTGGTTACTCATGAAGAGTTTAGGAATAGAGTTAGGTCATGTAGAAAGAAAAGTAGAGAGACAAAGTCACAATTTGCACTCCATCTTGCCACTTGTGTTAGGGATAACAAGAAGTGCTTCTACAAATACATCAGTAGCAAAAGGAGGGGCAAGGAAAATCTCCATTTTCTGTTGACATGGAGGGGAACATAGTTATCAAAGATGAGGATAAGGCTGAGGTATTTCACACCTTCTTTGCCTCAGTTTTCAACAGTAAGACAGGTTGCCCTCAGGACAACTGGCCTCCAGACTGACAGACAGAGACAGGAAGCTGAATAGCCACCCTGTAATCCAGGAGGAAACAGTGATCTGCTGAGCCCCTTGGATCCACACAAGTCTATGGAACCCACCCAAGGGTGATGAGGGAGCTGGCAGAAGAGCTCACCAAGCCGCTCTCCATCATTTACCAGCAGTCCTGGCTCTCTGGGGAGGTCCCAGATGACTGGAAGTTGGCGAATGTCACACCCATCCACAAAAAGGGCTGCAAGGAGGACCCAGGAAACTCCAGGCCTGTCAGCCTGACCTCAGTGCCTGGCAAGGTTATGGAGCAGATCATCCTGAGTGCAATCACACAGCACCTACAGGATGGACAAGGGATCAGAGCCAGCCAGTACGGGTTTAGGAGGGGCAGGTCCTGTTTGACCAACCTGATCTCCTTTTATGATCAGGTGACCCACCTGGTAGATGAGGGGAAGGCTGTGGATGTGGTCTATCTGGACTTCAGCAAAGCCTTTGACAACATCTCCCACAGCATTCTCCAGGAAAAGCTGGCAGCCCATGGCTTGGACAGGGGCACTCTGTGCTGGGTTAAGAACTGGCTGGAGGGCCGGGCCCAGAGAGTGCTGGTGAACGGGGCTGCATCCAGCTGGCAGCCGGTCACCAGTGATGTCCCCCAGGGATCAGTGCTGGGCCCAGTCCTGTTTAACATCTTTACTGATGATGTAAATGAGGGGATTGAGTCCATCATTAGCAAATTTGCAGACAACACCAAGTTGGGAGGGAGTGTCAATCTGCTGGAAGGCAGGAGGGCTCTGCAGAGGGACCTGGACAAACTGGATCTGATTCCAGAGGGATGAGTTTCAACAAGGCCAAGTGCCGGGTCCTGCACTTTGGCCACAACAACCCCCTGCAGCGCTACAGGCTGGGCACAGAGTGGCTGGAGAGCAGCCAGGCAGAAAGGGATCTGGGAGTTTGGATTGACAGGAAGCTGAACATGAGCCAGCAGTGTGCCCAGGTGGCCAAGAAGGCCAATGGCATCCTGGCCTGCATCAAGAACAGTGTGGCCAGCAGGAGCAGGGAAGTGATTTTTCCTGTGCACTCAGTGCTGGTGAGGCCACATCTGGAGTGCTGTGTCCAGTTCTGGGCCCCTCACTTCAGGAAGGATATTGAGGTGCTGGAGCAGGTCCAGAGAAGAGCAACAAAGCTGGGGAAGGGACTTGAGCACAAGTCCTATGAGGAGAGGCTGAGGGAGCTGGGGTTGTTTAGTCTGGAGAAGAGGAGGCTCAGGGGAGACCTCATCACTTTCTGCAACTCCCTGAGAGGAGGTTGTAGCCAGGTAGGGGTTGGTCTCTTCTCCCAGGCAACCAGTAGTAGGACAAGAGGGCACGGGCTTAAGCTGTGCCAGGGGCCATTTAGGTTGGATATTAGGAAAAAATTCTTTGCAGAGAGTAACACTGGAATGGGCTGCCCAGGGAATTGGTGAATTCTCTGTCCCTGGAGGTTTTTAAGATGAGACTGGATGTGGCATTTAGTGCCACTGGTCTAGTAACGGCGATGGTGTTGGATCAAGGGTTGGACTGGATGATCTCAGAGGTCTTTTCCAACCCAGCTGATTCTATGATTCTATAACCACGTAACTGGATACTCTGCCTGGGAGATTAAGGTACCATGAAGTTTAACTTATGAAAGACAGAAAGATCACATATATTTTATACTATATAAATCCTGAAGAACTGGGAGGTACAAAAAATACCAATTCCACCTATCTTCTGCAGCTTAAGACACACCAAGTAATACACAACAAGAGGAGGGGAAGCCATTGTTTACCTACAGCTTTGTTCTGCTTATCCAACACAGAAACAGAAACCAATACAAGGCCAATTAATGGCAACTGAATGAAAGCACAATCTTGAATAAATTTTAAGTCACAGAGAAGAAAACAATGTGTTTTATAAAAGAGTGAAGAGGGAAGCAGTAAGGACAGATTACTGTTGCACTTTTAAAGCCTGTACTTGTACCATATTTATTTGATAGTATGATTGATGATAACTCCTTCTGGCCAGCTTTTCTGTATATAAAAGAATCCTAATTGCCTTGTTAAAAGACATGCATGAAAGGATGCAACAGAGCTACTGCTGCAATAAGGACAACACCTTTTTAAAAGTGTAAGGAATCATTCTAAATGGAATCATTCCAAATTATTTTTTTTTTAATACTTAGCAAAGCCAAATATCTTTAGATTGATTACCTAAATGTTCAGAAGACATTCCTGACATTGCAAGGAGATGGATCACTTCAGGAAGTGTTTATAACTCTCACATAGGAACACTGTTTCACTCTTGGAAAAAATTTTAATTGGTATATTTCAAGGATGATCTAATAATTCTCTCTTATCCCATATTCCAAAGCCTGAAGTTCTTCAGATCTGAAGAAATGTAGCAATGCAAACAAAATCTGAAGAATGAAAAACTACCCCTAAACCCTTTTTCCTATATTTTAAAGACCGCAGCTTTACATTTACAGGATGGTAAATAAAACCACTGTATTTATTAACTCAGTGTTTAGAAGTTCAAGACAATATAAATTTTATACTAGCAAAAACAGTCAGCCTATCTGCTCAGGGTGTTACCAGTAAACTACATGCCCAATCCACCAAATGCAAGTTTCTTTTTAAAAGACAGGTCACAAAATGTAGTATGCTACATACTATAAGAAGTCCAAAGAAACAACAAAAATTGTTATGTTACATAGCACAGAAAGAGTCTTCTAGTGTGTTTTAACTGAAAGTAACCCTGAAAATATTTATTTAGAGGGAAAGAATATCTGTTCAGAGATAAAGTTCCTGGTAACTCTGATCTGCTGAGTGCAAGATGGTAATCTCTACAGTCTCTACTTGTCCTATAACTAAGAAACCTCAATAACAACCACCAAGCAAAAAAATCCCAAAACGATCTTAGTCTGAAACAAAAAACATACCTACCTGTGTTTTGAGTGTGATCTTTTCCTTCTAGATCGAGATTTTGAGCTAGACCTGGATTCTGAACGAGAATGGGAACGAGATCGACCGCCTTTTCTTTCACTGCTCTTTCCAGACTCTGAGAGGAAAAAATCACTTTGCAGTGTAAGCTCAGAACATTTAAAGATCCCAGTTAACAATCTGGCACAAGTGGAATGTACCACATCTAGTGCAAGGGGCCTACTCTCTGCACATCTTCCTTCTTTGCACATATCCTTCAGAAACATCCAAGAAAGTCATTGCATATACTCGTTGAGTGCAGCCATCCTGCAGCAGTACACATAAACCAGATAATTATAAACAGCTAGCTCTACTAAGAACAGGATTTATGTTGCTGCCACAAAGCATAAGAACATAACAAGTCTTCCTCCTGGTCTATTATTTAATATAATTATTTTTTTAAATAACCTGAGAAGAATAAATTTAGAGAGTATAATTTTAAAAATAAGCATAAAATATGTGATAATTAGTACTGTCTATACTTTTAGATATTTCAACGACTGTACAAAAGTTTTATTCCTCAAACACTGTTTCATGCAAGGAAGGAATGAACAGAACAGGGTGAAGATGATCCAAAAACCAGGAAGTCAACAGAAACCTTAATAGTGATCTTACCATGGTTCAGACTACAAGAAGACTACAGAAGCTGTTGCTTAACAGTGAAAAAATGTTAGAGCTATTTTTATTCCAACTCTAAAACATAACAGAAAACCCTCCTCCCCAAAAAACCCTCAAGACTCCACCCCATCTAATCTACATAAGACAACATCTGGGTTTGCTACTACAAAGAATGGCAAAAAGTTGCTAATGAAAAGAAGTAGGATCTCAACAGCACGTTTAGTAAGTTGAGAGCTTTTATGCTACGGTTTTGCAATCAAGTTTAAGTCAGCATAAATCAGCACTGGTATGTCTGTCTAACCTCTTAACACACAAACACCTTCCTCTTTGACTCTGCATCTTTGTCAACAGGGAAGGAAACAATCTGGATGAAAACAAGTCTTCTACAATATGTAAAGTTTTATCGCAGATTCATTTTCTGATCCCATTTGCTATGAGGATGCATACAGTCTTGAGCCAGCATGAAAGAGACAAAATTAACCTGCTGCAGATAAGGAAAGCACAATATTACTGCTTTCAGAACAAATGCTGATCATTAAACTATGGTACTCATGTGTACTAGAGAAGAAGAAAAAAAAAATAAAGTATTTTCCAAAGTTTCCAAGTACTCTGAACTTAAAAGGTGTCATCAGAGTATCAATTTGTAAAAATTTGTATTTTTGAAAACATTCATTGAACATGTATTTGAAAACAACATTTGATGAAATAAAAAGCTTCATTCCACTACTTTGTTGCATGAACAGAATTTTTATTATTCTTCTATTTTTTACCAACACATACTGAATACCTTTGAGTATCCTCTTCCTGTGTCTGAAAATGCTTTTAAAGTGTGTGCCAAGGAACACAGAGAATGTGTCTGTTAGCTAATGAACACAATATACCTACCTGGCTCAATAGCAGCAGATATGAAAGACTGGGCTTCCCTTACTCTCTTCATCACTTCTTCCAGCTCCTTAGCAGCAGCTTGTGGTGTCATTTCGGGAGGCTTCACTATTGCATTATTGGAGTGATTTATTCTAAGGAAAAATAAAAACATTTAATTCTTAAACACTTGAAAAGAAAAAATGAAAATCAAGTAAGAAAGAAAAACATCTCGTCTTCTATGTATGACAAAAAACTTTAAAGTTCAGCAAAACTACAGATTTGTGCTAATGCTCATTTTTTCCAAGTACCTGAATTATCTTTTATTGCTTTCAAATCTTAACCACTTTCAGAAAAAGGAAGCACAATATTTCTGTGTTACAGTATTTTTAGTAGAAGTCTAGAAAGCTATTTCTCTATTTCGTATAAAATTTCTATGCTAAAACCTAGTAATTGCATACACATCATACAGAAAACTTAGTACTAGAGGACTTTGCAGATTTTTCACTATATATTCACTACCTCAGGATTAAGAGAAATATATTTTACTCAATGCTACCCATATTATTCTAAGGGAAATTTATGTTAAACCTTGAAACTGGAATTGATAAGGTTGTTCCAGTTTAACATTAAGTTCTCGTACTGAAAAACTAGTCACAGCATTTTCCTATACATCAGAGTCCTACATGTATACATAAGGATACAAAGAAATCTCTCATTCAGTAGTCATATGGATAACTAATTTCTTACTTCAGTGGCCTGTCTCCAAACATAACTCCATTAAAGGCAAGAGCTCGAGGTACAGAATTTTGGTCAGCAAATTCCACAAAAGCAAATCGTGTTGGTTGAGTCTCATCACCTGCCATTCGCACAAATTTGACTTCTCCAACTTGCTTGAAGAATTCAAGCAGCTGATCTGCTGTTGTAGTCTAGAAAGAGTCAAAAAGTAAAATATATAACAAAAACAGCTTATACAATATATCAGGTAGTCTAAGAGTTACAGATTTTGGAATATCTCACCATTATTACACAGGTGGCATGAATTTAGTAATGTCACACTGTAAAAAAGACGTGTTTTTTCTTCCATTAATCTAAAGAATATTCTATGATTTAAAATAGTGCAGCCACAACCCCTTAGTTCTTCATCTAGATTAAAAAAAACACATTCGCACAGGATTTTGCACTTTTCAGGCAACTCATCTGAAATAATTGATGAGGAATTTCCTTATACACCTGCAGCCAAGTTGATTGTGACTTTGATTTTTGATCAACTAAAACAAGAATATCCAAACAATATTAAAAGACTTAGCTTTATCTGGTTTTCTATTATTTTTCAGTTTGTTTTATTATGATCAGTAGTACTTTTACACTCAGTAGCTACTTTAGCATCAAAAAACCCCAAAATGTAATACTTATACTGTTATCAGTCAAAAGCAAGTATTTTTCAAATAATTCAATCAAATGCTGAAAACACAAGTTGCTGACCAAAAGGTATTTATGCTAATTTTGCACTTCCCACTAGGACACATCACTCCATCTTACTAAGCAACTGCACAGTGCTGTGGGAAACAGTTACCATGATCTCATGACTTCTGAGGCACTGCTAACCTAACACAACTGGACATTTGACCAACACACACAACTGTTAAGTATGTTTCTTGAATTCAGCTACAGTGTGACTTCTCTGACAGAACGAATTCCAGAGCCTGGTCTGATTGGCACAGGAGCATTCAAAATATCATGAAGAGGTAATAAAATTGAGGGGCTTTTGTTTAAATTTGTGTTGCTGTTAACTAATGTAAAATCTTAAACAGATTAGAATTCATAAATTACAATTTCACACCTTCCATTAGTATTTCCACAACACAAAAACCCCAAAAAGCTACCTGGGAATTTAGGTTTCCAACATAGACCGTTCTCCTGATTTCATCAATTTTGGATGGATCCACATTTCCCATAATTGGTGGTTGTGGTATTTCTCCCAGTGCTGTAATGTTGGGGTCCAATGCTGCTGCTGGTATAGCCCCTAAAGTGCCAAGTGAAACACCGAGCTGGAAAACACAAAAACAGAATACACTTTGCAACCACGCACTGGCTTCTTCTGTGTAAAAACAGATCTAATAAAAATAGGCAATACTTCAAGATCACAGTACAGCAAGTTTTTTTACAGTACAAATATATACCCATAAATAACCTTCTATAGTTAAGATTTGCTGTGGTTATCAATTAACATCTTATCAAAGAAGTCTGGAAAGGGACCAGTGTATACGCAGTGCATCAATCACAAAACATATAGGTTTAAATCTCTAATGCTTAGATTGAGTAAGATACCTTCAGACACTGCTAATGTTCTTGTTTTTTTGACACAACAAGTATTTGGACTAGATGAGGAACGGCTTAGACCTTGCCCAGCAAAGAAAGAAGGGAATTTGCAATGCTCAGTGCCGACAGGTATCAGTCCATCAAAGGGAAACATAAGGCAACTTTTGGACAAATAAATCATGTAGGTCAAGATTAATTACAGTTGAAATGCAAAGGATATTGTATCTAATTCAGTCTTATTTCCCTCACTCCTAGAGGAAAATACATCTCATTGCTGCAAACAGCAATCTCTCCTGGGAAATGTTAGAAAAAGTCTCTTAAAAATCACTACAAAGTTGGCCCACTGAATTCCTGGTTTGAATTTTATTTTCACTACCCAAAAAGCAACTGCCTTTCGCATAAACAAATTTTCTAACTAGCCATGAGTAAATTTTTTTAATGTAACACAGGAAAAAACTACTCTAACTTGAAATTTTCCATGAGTAAACTATAGGAGCTTGCTGATGTCAAGAAAGGCTTACAGAGACAAAAGCACATTGAGCAGAAGTAGCATTACCAAGATGCTACTTTTCGTAGTGAAAACACTGTTAGACAAACAGTTAAAAACCTTGCTGTAGAGGTATCAAGTAAAATCATCCTACTGCAGCAGTTTAATATTCTGAAAAATGGTGTTACTATAACTATTATGTTTTAATAAATTTTTAGGAGGTGGATAGTACTTTGACTTGACCAAATAAATGGCTCTAGGGTAGGACAACAACCAAACCCAGTATTTACCCACTGTTTTGCAAAATAATAATCTGAAAGAAAAACCCAGAAACGTTGTGCATGGACATCTGATGATTTAGCACCATAGTTAAACCCTCACTGCAAAATCCATGGATCAGATAGTTCTTGTTCTCTGAACACAGGAAAGGCTACAGAGTACAGAAGAAACCAGAAATTGGACAGCTACTGAATTTTACTTACTGTAGTCAAAGGGGTTGGTGTAGGTATAGGAAGCAACCCTGCACCAGGCATCAGACTTGTCATAGTAGGAGCAGGCGCCAATAGAGAGAGGGCTTTGGCTTCATCTGGGATTTTACCTGAAGAAGCAAATGATAGCATTACACAGAGTTGGAACACTAGACAGATGTTACTCTTTCTATGATTTTACAATTACCCTTGCATTTAAAAATGTAATAAATAACAATGAATCTATCTACCAGATCCTTACAAAGAAACAAATAAGAACTTAAGTTTTTCCTTTACCCTGTTCTACTAGGAAAAACAAAAGTGAGAAAAATTTCAAAGACTAGCAATCTCATTAATGGATTATTATTTTAAAAACTGAATAATGTATACAATTATTTAACACTTTGAGCTATGGGTCACCTGTACTGGAAACTTAACGTTCATGAACCAAACGATATCAAGCATGGACGCTTTCCCAGGGCGATGTTTTCGCGGTGATCGAAAGTTGTTTTACACATGACAACCGTTCGTGTTGGCTGCATCACTAATAGCACACAGAACATCAGATACAGAAAAGAAGAACATTTTTTAAAGTTTAATCCCCAGAAATGGCAAATAACCAAATCAGCAAAAGAAAGAAAAACAAAAAAAGAAAAAAACAAGTATATGTTAACTGAAATTTGTGCTCTTCTTTATTCCTCTGGTGCTACCTACTTAGAATGTAAAAATAAGCAAAACATAAAATAAAAAAACTACTGAACTACAGTGACTCCACACAATACATACTACAAGTGAACCTGAAGGTGGAGGAGGGAAGAGCAGAAAAAATTTAGATTTGTACTGTCCACATTCTAGGTTACCTCAGTTTATGTGTAATTTACTTTAAATTTACTGAGACTGAAGAAAATCGTAACTGATCAGCTAAGTAAGCTATTTTTCCCAGAATATGTACTCCCTGCTATTTCAACTTGATTATAATCCTACTGCCATGTTTAAAGTTTAAGTAATAACTAATCTGAATTAAATGCAGGTTTCATTCAATGTAGTCACAATTAGACTATTAAATGAACCCCAAAAATCTCAAAAAATCATGATTTAATAGTCAAACAATTAGGATTACAATTAAATGTACACTTTCAATTTGAAATGCAAAGGGATTTAAACTGGTACAAACATTAAACACTAAAATAAAAAGCTACCAAAAGAAGTTCCAATTATACTAGATATATATGATGTGTTCAACATTACTGGCGTAACTGTACAATTGCTAATCAGCTAAGCCCTTTGGTATTCCCATATGGACCATAATAAAGTAAATGCTCTTATTTAAACATTGTTCTAGTCGTCAAGGAACATACAAAAGCTGTGCCAGTGGCTTTCACTGCTTTGATTCAAACTGCGTATGTTTTAACTTATAAGACCTCTAAATCCAAAATTAAAAATATACAAATATTCTTATCAAAAAGTAAAACATGAGGTAAGTTTCAAAACACCACGCAGTTTTAGCTATAATGAGCTCCAACTCACCCCACAGCAACATACTACTTTTAAAAATGGAATGAAAAAATTTTTGCAAACCTGTTTTACAGATCTGCAGGAAAATCTAGGTTACAGTTGGATATGACCAAAGAACAGAAAAAATCTAAATGAAATTGAATTTATATGTAGCATGGGTGGAAAAGAAAAGATAAAGTAACAGTACCCATTTAATGTCATGCTTCCTATTTACATTTATTTTATTTATGTTAAATTTTGAGACACCTTCCTCCTTAACATGTAAGAAACCACTTGATTTTGCTATCTAAAGAAGAAAAATAGGAAAATTGTTAGCACTTAAGAATTAACTGTGCAATAATGAACTCCAGGGCTTTTTTAAAAAAACATGCATGAATCTAAGCCACCATCACAACGTTCAGCACTCTTCACAGATCTCATTTTGAAGTCAGGCATGCAATGAGAGGTGTACCTAACTGCTCAAAAGGTACTTTGCTGCATACCCTGCCTAATATGTTGCTAACTAAAAGACTTTTGAATACACAGTTCCAGCAGCTGTGCATGCAAATTAGGCATAGAATTATGTACCAGTTCTTCTGCAAAACTAAATACTTCAGTGTTTTCAAATGACTAATGAACCAGAATTTATCCTGAACAGTGAATATCTTGCAATTCTTGCAGGTTTCTATGGATCATGAGACATTGCATAAGTAATAGCAGAAATGGCTCCTGAAGTGGTGTGTCGGCATGCTAACTGAGATCCTTGGTGAATAATGTACATAAGCATATGCCTAATTCAAGTATGCACTTACATACAGCCAATTCAACACACACTTAACCAGGTAAACTTACAATTAGGCACTTAATTTAGGCTTAGGCAGTTAGCCCTTTTAAACAGTAACTGAGTTAGGCACATAACTAAGAAGGACAATGAGTCAAGACTGAAACAGAAGCCTAAACTTTAGGTATATGCATCATGGTATTGAAATAACTGGAACTACTAATAATTTGCTCAAATGTTGTTAAAGGAATCCACTGAACATTTCAGTTCCGTTCACCATTATAGCAGCTCAAAGAACAAATAGCATGCATATGTAAATTGTCAAGTTTGCAGCATTATACACAAAATACTTTGATCTTTAACAATGTAAAGTTTTAGAATACAAAATGTCATCCATCAGTTCCAACACCACAGTAAAAGATTATTTATTTTGTTTTCAAGAAAGAGAAAGGGTCTATCTCTACTGACAGAACCCTGAAAATTTGCCTGTATATTCAAAGATACTGCCTTTTCGAAGTATCTTTTCCAGTTTTTAAAACCAGGTCAAAATTCTATGGAACACTGTTGTGTGGAAACAAAAATCTGCAATGTCTTGAAAATCTACTTCTCTGTTTTTTAAACAGTTTTGAAAAACAACTTAATATGCAAGACCAAATACCCTCACGAGTTACAGGTTTTAAATCTTGGAGTTTTACCTCTGTGAATTTATTTATAAAATGAAATATAAGCTCACAAAAATACAACAAAATATGTGGGCTTTGACACAACAGACTAGCATAATTTAGTTTAAACATGGTATTTAAAAGCTGAATTTTCCATTCTGTTTTGACATGTGGTGAAGATATTTACTTCCTAATGAGGGAAACAGACAATATAAATATGCCACATCTATACCCCATTTCTTAGAAGCATTTCTGCTTAGTAAATTACAGGTTCTATCATCAATTATTTATTGATTCTTCACTTTGCAAAGGAATCTGAAAGCAAATGTAGATTAGCTCAGGACTGCCTACAGACAGTTGTGATTGCTACTTTTTTGTATCATCAAAGTCTCAAGAGCCATAGTCAGCCTATTCTATATCAGAATCCATTTTGATGAAGGTTGAATAGAAGTACCTGCGTTAAACAAGTACTAATTACAGTATTGTTCCTCAAGCGTTCGGAAAAAACTAATTTTCTACTCTTTGTAGTGAAACTACACAGTTAATCCTCACCCCAGAAAGTGCATCTGCAATAAGTTTGCTCATTTTTTAAAAATACTGTTCACGTCTACTCTAAACATAAGAGTACTTGTTTTCCTTCCATTTTAAATCAATGGAACGTGTACCCTTACAAATAAAATACTTTGTGTGATCCAACTCATGAATCTTAGTGGATTTAGCAGCAGCGAATAAAGAGATGACAGCTACTGGCAATTACCTCAACTGCCAAATCCAACAGAGATCACCAAGCAAAGTTCTTTTCAGAGTGAAACCAACAGATGCCAATGCAGCTGGCTGGGAAGAGTAATGCCTGAAGACTAGACACAGCACCTTGTCCACCACTTCTGTTTCAAGGTTTCCATTTCACAGGAAGTAAAAACATCATTTAGGGATGAGAACCATCTCAATCACTCCAGCATGAACTGCCAGGGCTTCTGAGACTGCGAGATGATGGAGCAAAGACTAATTTTCTGACATTTTTTTTTTTTTAAACTTCTTTTTTCAAATAATTACCGCTGCAGCATGTCAAAAATGCAATACATACACACAAACACACGCACACACACGAAGAACTGATTCAATCTTCTCACAAGTAACAGTGTTTAAAGACAATGCGTCTCACATAACACATTCCAACCAAAATTTCAGGTTGCATTTGTACTTATGAGTGGTAAACGGTCTTTTCTGAAAATTACAAAAACAAAAGGATGAAATCTTCCTGTCACTGACCTCACTGCAGCAAGGTTTCATCAAAAGTAAACAAATATTTCATGACATTCAATATTCATAAAATTGTTTCTGAAATAATTATTTTAAGCTCATGACACTAGACATAAATAATCAGCCTTCTTTTAAATAGACATTGCAACCTAAAATAAAACACTCTGCTGAGGAAATATAGCAGAGAAATATCATGACTTTACTTTCTAAAGTTGGTTTCTCCAGAAGTATGAGTCTCAACTGTCCTTTTTCAAGATGAACTCATAAAACACAACATATGAAAGAATGTATCTCAAAACTGACATATTTTTCACTGTTCCTGCCTTCTGACACGATGTGCTAATCTGCTGAATTTAGATGCTTAAATGTATTCTAAATCAAATTTATCCTTAATTCACAGCATTGAAAACTAATCATATTCTAAGTTCTCTGTATATCATCCACCATTCATAAGCAGTTTCGGGTCAACTTCAAGATTAAACACTGTGAACCCTTTACAAACATCATTTTCACAGAACTGAAGTACCAGTTCACAAGTACAAGGGTAAGAGATTTAACAGAACAAAACAAAAAAGGGACAAAATAAAATAAAAATAAAAGAAACAAAGGAAAGAAATCAAAATAAAATAAAAACAGAGACAGGGCGTCCATCTTCAGCAGGCCAGACTTCGATCTCATTTCCCCCATGAAGGTTTCACTTGGCGGCAGGTTTAGTGGCATGGCAAACAATGCCTAACTCAGGCAAGTGTAACAGGTCTGCCTTGGCCAGTCTAGTCATCTAATAATGCACAAATATCACACAGAGAAAACATACAAAACCAAATTAATAGTCAAAATCCATCTACCAGATAATGTGGACATAAAATTTAGAATGAATAGGGTGGCATCTTTGTTTAGCTTTCAACCTTTGTGTTTTCAAAGTATATTTAAAGAAAAACCTACCAATACACACACATAAAAAGTCATATTTTGACAGCTTAGTACTCTTACTTACTTAGTACTCTTACTTACAATTACATTTTTGTTAAATTGTTCATTAAATGTCATATAATTAAGACTGATTTCATTCTGTAGTGATTCCTTCCTCATACACCCTTGATTTACCACTGTTTAAATACATTCTCAATTTCAGATTTTATTCTGATTTTTTTTAAAACCAGGTTTTCAGAGTTCATTTTACCTCTATACCTCTATACTATGTTTAACTTAGCGCACAAATGTTTTATTATTGGCACTGTTGGACAATTATATAATTTTACCTCCTGGCAGAATAAAGCCATCACTACTTTTAAAGCCTGTGATCCACTCCACTGACTCCATTAACAGTGCATCATATGATACATATTGAATCAAAAACCTTGAGCTGTGGTCTCCAAAGTCATATTTATTCCACACAATACTCATCAGAAAGTTAAATCTGTATAATTCACATATTTTTTTAAATGAGTGATTATAATAAAAAGTTACATGGAAACAGCATTCTCTCGTTAAAAAAAGAAGCTACCTCAAAGCCCAATCTCTTGCTCACCTAATTATACATACATTTCTGTGGAAATGGAGAATGATTTTGAAAAATGACATTTTAATACAGTTTCTCAGAAATGCCTAATAAGTCAGCTACAAATAGAGTCAGAACAATATTTGTCAGAACTTTGATTTTTTCTCCTTCCATACATTGTCTACCACCAACAGACAGAAGAAATGTAGCTTTACCTGCCTGGTGCCATATCATGTCAGGCAGTGATCTCATCAGAAGAAAAATACCAGAGGTGTGTTCACTCATTAGGCAACAATCCTCCCTCTCTGGCAGTACTGAACCAATGTTATCAGTTTTTTGACAAAATGTGAAACTAAGATCCTGAATAAACCTTAGTCAAGGTATTTAGGGCAATTTTCCAACTGGGGATTCTGATCCCCTCAGCCTATACACAGTTGCAAGCGGATACAGCCATATTCTCTTTGTGGTTTTAGAACAAGCTCAAAATATGAAACCGAAAAGGCCCCAAAACAAGGCACAAAAGCAACTAAAAATCTAGGCTTTACAAAGACAAATGTGTTAGATGCCCCTAGTAAGAAGGCTGCAAGAATAGACAGGTCAATTGTAGGTCAATTTGGCCTTTAGTGAAACTCTGAAGATTTGGCAGAGTTTGCTAAGAACATCCCAGATGATTATTACAGCAGCACTAATCTCACACTATCTAGATCATTATGTGGCAAACATGCCAAGAAACAGTACTCTGGGACCATCATTAACAAACTCAAGGAAGTTAATAGTATTTTTCTGAACTCTTGCAGTTAGAGATGTTATTAAGAGGTATTTCTGGACTTGCTGCAGTTCATGGTTCAACCACTCTATATATTGTTCATGGCAAAGCTACCAAGTTGAAAGTGAAGTCAGGTTCACTCCATCAGCTGGAATGATTCTACTCCAAAAAGGTAAAAGGGCCAGAGCTAAACAGTCAGATGCTTGATTCCACAATGATCCCAATGAAGTCAATGGGGCTCTGCCTAACTCCAACAAAAAGGTCTACTATAGGACCACGCTTCAGGTAACTGTATTCAGATCTAGGATACTATACTAACAGTTCTGTCTTGTATTCAATACCTCCATAAAAGTGTGGCCTCACAGGCCGGGTAAACGAACATTTGCCAATTTAGTATTCATCAAGTATTTTATTTTATTAAGAATTTTAAGAGCATTTTATGATGGAAGCATTCTGTACAGATCACTGCTTATTTAAGAAGGTATCTAAAACCAAAGAGAAGTACTGCTATAGATAAGAAAAGCTTTTCATGACACACAAAGTAACATTTTCAACAGTAACAAGAAAGATTGCTTTTAAAAAATAAAGCTAACAGGTAAACATTTATATTCAAACAGTAATTATCACCATGAATGCTAAATATTTTAGTTTAGATGACTCTAAAACGGTTAAATGCATATACTGCATGTCTACAAGAAAAAGCAGGATGCACTCTAAAACAATGCAAAATAATCAGTGTCTTCAAAAAAATCACAAGTCAACAAAAAATCCACTACACCAAAGGTGATACATTAAGATTCAAACTGCAGTGTTATTGTGCCAGGAAACTGTCTGATTGTTTCAGAGCTCCATTGACTTCAGTGAGCACTCTGTATAAGAATAACCTTGCCAACACAAACCATAGTGAATTATTTTACTTTTTTACCCTCAAAATATGCAATAATGATGGAAAACTTAATTATCATAATTTAAACCAACTACCTTATTGCTAATGCTGAATTTCAATTAAATCTATATAACTGGATTTGCTCATTCAATGTCCAATTTTGATTCAAGACTTTTCTCTCAAAAAGAAATAAAATAAAATAAAATAACAACAGAGCACCACCTTTTTACACGGAAAGCTTAAAACACTTAACAGACACAACAAAGATCAACAGTACAGAAGAATGTCTAAAATACCAACCTTCTGCGCAGGGAACAACTATCAAAGCTCTGTCAATAAAAACCGTGTTAGTTAGATGCTGGGCCACACCAACACTTGATGCTTCGCGAAACTTAATATAACATACTTTGGAGGAAAAAGCAAGAGGGGCGTTGCTGCAAGATAAAAGGAAAAAAAAATCAATCAGTCACGTTAAATAATTGCATGCATGTATTTTTAACTGTTACTCCTTAAGAAAAAAAAAGGTTTAGACTTCCTAGAAAAGTTAGTCATAAGAGAAGAGTATAGAAATCTACTAATTTGCCTACTTACTATGCCACTGTAAAAAGCATAGTGAAGTACCTCCTTCTTTTTAATGAAAATAAACCTTGTTGAGGAAAGTCAAACAACAAACCCTGCCATTTTTCCATGAGTTCTTCAGATACTAGCCTGTAACAACTAATATTTTTTCTTTGGTTTTCATAAAAGCTGTTTTATTAATTCTTATTAAGATAAAAGAAGTTCTTGAGAGTTCTTTCAAATATTGGGTCTTAGTTGACTAATATAACAAAATTCCTTTTTATCACCTGCCTTAGTTAGGCATATTGTAGCCCGAGGCAGCACTGGATAAGGTAGGAGCAACTCACCATTTGGCTACAAAAGGGAAGGAAATTTGCTTTTCCATTAGGCAGTATACCAACCGAGAACATGTAAATATGTAATCTTGATCAAAACCACAGAAGTTTGCTTTAAAAATGGATTCCCTAGTCAAGGTTGTGACCTTTATCTGAGCAGCTCATTTCTTCACATGGATGAAGTACAGGTGACATTTTTAAAGAGAGAATGTAACAGGATATTGCTGGAATATTAGCAATTTCCATATGAAAAGACCATCTGTCTTCTAGCAAAGCAGAAAGTCATGGAAAATGCACTGCATAAACTGTTTCACCCTGGTTCTGCCTCAACCCAAACTGAAAAACTTGTCAACTTTCTGGAAGTACCAGCAGCAGTTCAAGTTTAACCCAACCCATTCTGTAGTCCCTTCAAATTCCAAAGCAGGTACTTTCAAAGTTATTTCATGAAATTAATTAGATTTCAATATTTAACTACAAGTTCAAAACTTTTAGAGATATTATTTCATCCTATTAATTGCAAAGATAAACCGGGAAGTTCGGAGGCATGCAGACTATATGCTTCACAGACAGTATGCTTCTGGGTACCAGAACAGTAACGCCTACGTAAAATATCTAAAGAGATGATGACATTCAGAATGGCATTCAGAAACACTTATCATGGAAAATTCTGTAAAGACACTGAGGAGGAAAAACTAAACAGGGCATGGGAGAGACAAACACGAAAGTTAGCCTCATACAATTTAGAAAAAAATTACAAGATGACTACATTTCATTTATAAACTTTGTCTATAGTGGCCAATGTTCAAGTTTCCACATTCAGGACAGAAATAATTGCATAGGAGGGGTTCTGAGCCAGCTGTAAGGTCTTGGATCAGATCAGTTTCCAATATCAGAAGTGACAGCAAGCTATGACTTTTTCAGCACTCACCACAAACTCTGCTGACCACAAAGACTTTTAACGGCCACGGGGGTTTTTCTATTTGGTTGGGTTTGCTGGGGGAGGGGAATCCAAGGTGGGGAGGAGGAGGGGGTGTTTTGGGTTTTTCTGTTGTCATTGTTTGTTGTTTGTTTGTTTATCTGTAAATACATGTCAGTGTTACAACTCAAATGGCTGAAGCCTTTGCTGAAGGTTCTGTGGTCCACACTGTTAAAGAACCACAGAATCATAGAATCAACTGGGTTGAAAAACACCTCCGAGATCAAGTCCAACCCTTGATCCAACACCCGTGGTTATTAGACCACGGCACTAAGTGCCACATCCAGTCTTAAAAACCTCCAGGGACGGTGAACCCACCACCTGCCTGGGCAGCCCATTTCAATGTCTGATTACTCTCTCTGTAAAAATTTTTTACCTAATATCCAACCTAAACCTCCCCTGGCAGAGCTTAAGGCTTCTAACATCGCCCAGGTTTTTCTCCTTTTTTTGTTTTTATTGCCAACTCAAGAACATAATTCTGTTCCAGGCAGTCTCAGACCCCATAATAATCTTTATAAATTTCAACATCTACAAAGCCAGCTCTGACAAGTGTGGTTTTTTAACATTCGTCCTCCTGTTTTACTTGGATTTAAATTACAAAAGCTATGTTCAAAGTATGTTAAAAAATATTAATATCTGGACACTACTGCAAATGAGGTTCTACAAAGAAGTCTTGGTACCAAATATTTTCTGAGGGTTAAGAAGGAGAAATTCTCTATAAGGAGACCATCTCTGCTAAAAACACATTAATGATGCATCTACATCAAGGGAAACTATTAAGATCCAAAGGAGCTAAAACTCTAGAAGGTTTCACAATGATTGAGTCCCTTTTAGGAAATGAGCCTCTGAAATCTCCCCAGCAGGCTTCTTAAGAAGTCTTTCCTAAAACAGAAAAGTCCTATTCTGTTTTAATTCCTTTTGTTGCTTTTTTTTTCTGCTAACCTTTTCTGAGGCTGGATTGAAGGAGTCATAGTCTTCTTCCTAGGGTTAAGCAGCAGTGACACTAAAAACCAATTTTATATCTCTGATTGAAGTTTACTAAAATCCAGTTTCTTTAGGAAAAAAAAAAAAGGAAATAAAAAAGGAAATAAATATCTAAATAGTTCTCAGACATTTCTGACATTTTTCTTTTCCTTTGTAGGAAGATAGCAACATTCCATCTCCTACTAACAATCAATTGAAATATTTCCTAAGAATGACCTATCCAGAAGTCTACAGTAAAAAAATGGAAGAAAAAACTGGCCAAATTTTCTTCAGAGGAGTGATGTCTGGAGGAGACAACAAAAATTAATAATTAATGGCATAATTATGCAGAGGCTCCGTGTGTTTTGCCTCAAAGGCCTCATCTATATTGCTATCACTGCATGAGGTAACAATGTCTATTGACTGGACCATAGAGGTGACAAACCTATGTCCCTTTGCTGAGTTAAGTGAAGGTGGTCTATCCATCTGTAAGGCACAAGTGAGAGTGGCTCAGTCTGGTGGCACCCGTCAAAGCTAAACCAGGCTTTGCTCAGCCACTAGGAATCATGGACAGAACACTGTTAGGCTCTGAACTACAAGAGGCCACAAAGCCCATCGCCAAGGTCTGGTATGACATGTGTGTCCACCTCCCAATGCCTGCTGGGTGGCAACTAGAGTGGAGCTTCCTCGTGGCAGAACACAAGAGGCCAATCCAGTCTTGCCCTTGAGTAGGGAAGGGTTACGACCAATTAGCCCACTGTCCAACTTTAGGTTAAAACAAAAGTTTATTTTAAAACACTTGAGTGTTCTAGCTTCCAAGATCACTCCAGACCATGCAGAAGCAAACTGTTCACAGCAGAACTTTGCACACCTAATAGAGCCTGTGCCTCCCTGCTTTCAAACAACTCATTCTGCAAAGAACCAATTGTTGCTCAATAAAGTTGTTCAACATTTAACTGTTGAAAAATCCTCTTTCTTGAAGACTTATCCTTATAAATGTGACTTTGAAGGCTAGTCTGAAACACAGACTTCAGCTGGGTCACAAGTGTATCTCAAAAGCACAGCTGGGAATAGGAATCCGATTACAGGCATCACTGATCTCCTCACAGGTTGAAAAAAAAACGCCACAGTGTGTGAGTAACTAGCACACTGGAGAACATATCCAAGGTAAAAGACCTGTCACACCCTGCAAACCAGTTTCACATTTCAACTGTACTGCAAACCAAAAGGGATCAATAAAACTTTTTGCCTGGGACACCTTTGCTTCCCAACCACTTGTCAATAAAGCATTATTTCCTAATTTTATCACAATGTTTTCAAACATATTTTTAGAGAGTCAACAGGAGGCACCTCTTTTTTTGTTTCAAAAAAAGGACAATAAATAATTAATTTTTTCCCAAGGAAGTAATTTGAAAGTCAGGTGAAATGTCCATACCAGTTAGAAAAGGAAATCTGTATTTCTAACAGTTATTCATAAAAACTCTAAATTAACCAAGAGCAAAATACGTAATTACAATCCCACATCCTGTCTCTTAAAATTTAATTAATCACGAAGAACCAAATTTTATAGCTTTACAGCCCTGACATTCCCAAGCTAAATCCTACTGTGGCACTGGATTTTATTATTTTATGTGTATATATGTACTCTGGCAAAACTGCACATCTCAGCACAAACATTTTTTAGATATGAGTGTCAAAAAGTACCTCTTTGACTAAAACCTAGTGAAAGATAAGAGCAACAGCTGTAACAAAACAAAACAAAACAAAAAAATCAGTAAGGAGAAAAGGCAAATCCCCAGAAAACTGCATAAAAATCCACCATATACCTAATAAAGTGTTTAAAAATCAGTTAGCCTGTTTTAAGCATATTATGTACTATTTACATATTAAATAGTTAATTTTTGTGAATAGCTGGCATTCAAACATACTCAGATAAAATGTAGCTATATAAGCATTGAGAAGCACCAACTTTTTGGCTATTCAGCTTAGTAAATCGAAATTTGGTCAATCTTCACATCATCTTTTTATTAAAATTCAAGTATATGGATGCAAATTACTCCCTCTCCTTTCTGCTATTTAATTATTCTAACAAAATACACAGTTTGAAAGGGCATGGCTGTTATTCACTTTCCAGTACAACTGCTGCCTAAAGAAAAATAATATTTATTTTCCTCCTCTTTTCTGCTGATTACCACCTACTCGGGAGAAGCAGCACTGTTATACTGCAAGTCCTAGCATCTCCCACCTCAGCGCATCCCTCGCGAACCGCTACAATTTAGGGAAAGGTGGAACGTCCATGATTAATTTACTGCACAAATCTTATGGGGAGCAACTCCGAGCACAAGGCAGAGAAGGTTCCGTCCGTCTGCGGAACCTCAGCTATTCTGGCTTCTGTTCGACCACCCCCATCTTGGAGCAGAGCCCTTCTAACACACTGGGGGAAAAAAAAGAGTAAG